GTTACTGAAAGAGCTGTCTTTTGGTAAATGTTCAGTTAAAGCGAGATCAGCCCCACGGAGGGGCATGCCAAACTCCGAGACCGAATCCAGCGGCGCTGTGTGGATTTCCATTATCTGTTTCAGATCGCTGCTGGAAAAACTCCAAAACTTGCTGCATTGGTCCAAAACACCGCAATGGCCTGAGACTCGGCTCGATCTTCGATGCAGCTTCCGTGGACTTCTACTGTTGCCTCGTGGAAGTTCTGCGCCGCACAGGCCACCACATTCTAGCCAATCAGATCTACACAAAAAAGTCAAAATATCTTTAGCGCTGCCAATCACCCACCGGCGATCTCCCACCTTTAAATACTTCCCGAAGTTACCTCCCCTCATTTGCAACCGTCGCCCTAGTTTGCTACATGCCGCCGGCATACCTAATAAGCGGTACTGCACACAGCGCCCGGCGTGCGTGGCTCCTCCCTACTTTTCCCTCACGGCATGCCCCGCGGTAATGCACACAATTACGTAGGTGTCTCACTCGGAGTATATAAACCAAGTGTCTCCCAGGTTGCCGGGTGTCCATATCTATAAATCTATAATGCCCAACTCCCCAGGCGAGAGCGCCGTTTCCGAATCCCCCGCTTTCCAGTCGTACCTCAACAACGACGGCATCGACCTGTTGACCCCTGCCTCCAGAAAACACCGGGTGTCGTCGTTGTCGCTTTCCGACTTGAACCAGTGGCAGAATGGCTTGACCAAGCTTTCCTCCTCCACCTCCTTGAGCAAACAGGGCTCCAACGCAAACTTGAAGAAGGTCGACTCCTTGGCCAAGTTGTCCCGTAACTCCTCCATCATCAAGCGTAAGAAGAAGTCCATCATCGACCACCCCAGAGTCGCCTCCTACGCCTTCTGCTTCGACATCGATGGTGTCATCTTGAGAGGTCCCGACACCATTCCCGTCGCCAAAGACGCCATCAGAATGTTGAACGGTGACAACAAGTACAACATCAAGGTTCCTTCCATCTACGTCACCAACGGAGGTGGTAAGCCCGAGAAGGTCAGAGCCGAGGACTTGTCCAAGAGATTGGAGACCGAGATCAAGGTCGAGCAAATCATCCAGGGCCACACCCCAATGAGAGATTTGGTTCCTCTTTACAAGAACGTGTTGGTTGTCGGCGGTGTCGGTAACGTCTGCAGAAACGTGGCTGAGTCGTACGGTTTCACCAACGTCTACACCCCATTGGATATCTTGAAGTGGAACCCTGCCGTGTCTCCTTACCACGACTTGACCGAGGAGGAGAAGGTCTGCTGCAGAACCGACGTCGACTTCTCCAAGATTTCGATCGACGCCATTCTTGTCTTTGCCGACTCCAGAAACTGGGCTGCTGACCAGCAGATCATCTTGGAGTTGCTCTTGTCTAAGAACGGTGTCATGGGTACCGAGTCCAAGACTTACAACGAAGGTCCTGAGATCTACTTTGCCCACTCCGATTTCATCTGGGCCACAAACTACAAGTTGAACAGATACGGTATGGGTGCCTTGCAGGTCTCCATTGCTGCCTTGTACAGAGAGCACACTGGCCTCGAATTGAAGGTGCACAGATTCGGTAAACCCCAGGCTGGTACTTTCAAGTTTGCCAACAAGGTGTTGAAGAACTGGAGAAGAGGTATGTTGGACGAGCACTTGAAGAAGCTCAACGTCAACGACCCAAACGCCCAGGATGCCGACATCTTGATCAATGACGATGGCGAGGAGTTCATCAACCAGGCCAAATTGGAGTCCGGTAACTACGAGAGCGATGAAGAGAACGAGTCCGATGAAGACGAAGAAGGCAAGACAATCGGCAAGTTGGGTGAATTGAGCTTGCAGGACAAGATTCAGTTGCAATTGCCTCCAGCATCGACCGTCTACTTCGTCGGTGACACCCCAGAGTCTGATATCAGATTCGCCAACTCCCACGACGACTCGTGGTTCTCCATTCTTGTCGAGACTGGTGTCTACCAGGCTGGTACCGAGCCAAAGTACAAGCCTAAGCACCAGTGTGACAATGTTCTTGAAGCCGTCAAGTTCGCAATTGAGCGTGAGCATGAGTTGGAATTGAAGGAGTGGAACGAGACTGCTGACTTCGACGAGGACAGCAAGGTTTCCTCCAAGATCAACTTCAACGACTTCATCATGACGCCTAGCGAAAAGAAGGAGGCCGAGGAGAAGGAGCAGAAGAAGCTCCAAAAGGAAAAGACAAAGAACACCAAGACTGTGGAGGAGTCCGAGTCTGTCGAAGTCCCCGCAGGCCTTACAGCCGAGCTCGACAAATTCAAGGAACAGTGAGCATGGCTCCTCCACTAATCCCATTTGCATAGAAGTGAATAGCCAACCCGCGCGCATACATAATAATACTGTAGTACATTAACATCAACAAACAAAGCATACTATGGCAGACATTGAGCAAATCGGCCAAAACACGCTGATATCCCAGGCCAAGGAGGTTTTTGAAAGTGTGACCAATGCCTCAAGTTCCAGTCTAAAAAATCCAGCCAAAATCAAAACAGAACTCACGCATCTAAAACAGTTCTTGTCAAAGCTCAAGTTTCAGTACCTAGAACAAGAAACCAGAGACAAGTTCCTACGGCTGTTACTTATAGATGAAAAGAACATCACCAAGGAAGATGTCGATCTGATTTTGTCCGAGAATCAACAGTTCAAAGCCACCCTCAAGCTGCTTAAACGAGAAATCGAAGCTCTGACGGAACAGGCGGAAAATTTGGCAGAGGAGGTAGTCAATTTGAATGATCAGCTTCAAAAGCATAAAGCAGAAGTCAAGGAGAGTCTATCGGAGGCTGCGCAGCTTCAGGAGGAGCTAGATCAGCTTATGAACGAAGGAGAGAACGAGAACTACAAAACGCTATTCAACTTCAAGAAGCTTATTGACTCAGACGACATCGGACTCAGCGAGGCTATCAGTATTGCCAATAGTGCCGTTGAGAGCGATGAAGCTACCCTTAAACAGCTCGATGACCAGCTCAAGGAAGCTCAGAAACAGACCGAGGAGAAGAGACGGGAGCTAGAGCAGTTGGAGAGGAAGACACAGGAACTCGAGAGCCAGGTTGGCGAGGATCACACGCCAGTGAAGCGAAATGAGCAGCAGGAGTACGCTCAGCAGTTGAATGATATCAAGACGGCACTCGCCAGGTTTGTGTCTTCCAGTTGAGGCCAGATTGACATGAGATAGTTGAATAATGCTGGAGTGAGCAACACGATGGCCGCTAATGCCGATGCAATGATTGTCCTGTTGTTCGGATAACATCTTCTTGTTCCACCGTCTTCTTGTTCGGATATACGACCTGGGTTGTCAGTGGTACCTCAGGTGTACAAAGTAAGGATAACCACTCCAACTATCTACACCTGACATAAACTCTCTCTGGACTCAGCAAAATTCAAAACCGTTAAAGATACGTACCCTCACGACCTACCTCAACCCCACACATGCCTCTACTGGTGGCTGCGAAATACACGAACTGGGCCAGACCCACATCGAACATATTCCATTTCTTCCAGAATCAAAAATTCCTACTAACTCTTATAAACCAGCTCAAAATACCTCTTTCATGGCATCCCCCATAATGAGTGCCCCGCTTTGCTAATACCTTGTTTTCTAGTGGGCGCACATGCCTCGGTTCGTCATACAACCATTATCAACATTACTCGCTTCAACCTCCGAGGGCTCTTTTATTTTCCTGACATGGCCGCTACTCTGGTACTTCCAGCCACTACAAAGTCTCCTTTCATAGCACCCACTGCGTCTAAAGCCCCTGAAAAGAACAAAGTCGTCGAGGATCTCCTCAAGCTCATCGAGAAGGAATACAAGCAGGGAAACCTGACCGTCACCAAAGACAAGTACCAAAAGCTTTTAAAACTCAAGCAAGAGCAGAATCGGAAACTGAGACAGGGAACGCCTCCTTTGCCACCTCCTTTATACCCTCCGATCTTCCACAAGTTCAACGTTCCCAACCAAGAACCCCCACTGAGTCCTAACCCCAAGAAGTTTAGGAAGAGAAGACTGAAGCTCACGTTTAAGAAAGTCGAGCACGTGGTGATTCTGATTTTGGAGTCGCTAGCTAATATTCTCGATAACTTGCACCTTTTTTCCAAGCTCCCCATGTTCCCAGAGAAATTGGTGGATCTCTTGAAGCACACCAACCGCTTGTGGGTGCTCATTTTGGTGTTTTTGATCAGAAAGACCATTTCGCAGCTCCTTAACCTTATAAGAAAGGAGCGCAAGGTCAAGACTGAGTTGGGTATTCTCAAGAACCAGTCTAACTCGAAGCTTTTGGAGGAAAACGACCAACCTGAGAACGAGAACAACGTGCTCCGGAAGTACGAAAAGGTTCTCCGCGACTTGAAGTTCGACAAGATGATGCTCCGCTTTGAGCTCTTGGGTAACTTCTTAGACTTGGCGTTCAACGTCATCGAGCTCTATGCCATGGTGGTGCCCGACTGGTTCATGAATTTCTTGAACTTTGCCAGCATGGGTATGACCATCTACAGAATGAACAAGGATGATGAATACGTCGACGACGACATCACCGACGACTTGATCTAGAGTATTTATTAATCGTATGTATGGGTGAGATGGATGTAGGGAGAGATTTGATACGGGGCTAGGACGTTGAAGCAAAATGGTCACTGTAAAGTCGTCCCGAGAAGAAATTATAAATTACTGATTTTAAGTGTTATATTTAACATTGGTTTAATGAGGTGCTTCATGGGGTATATGGAGATTGATATGGGGTAACCCAACAACTTGTTTCGCCTTCCAATGCACTTTATGTGGGACATTTGCTACTTAACATCCTTTTTTCAAAGATAATTAATCAACTCTTTTAAATAAAATTCTTGTTTCCAGGAACCCACCGTCTGTTCATTAAATGGCTGCAAAGGCTGTTGGGGAGCCGTCTGCAGTACATATCAACCACGACTAGTACTCTAGACATTGCTCGTCCATACTTCAGCCAAAAAAGGCATGCTATCACAACGCCTCCAAGAAACAGAAAAACAGCTACAGTCTGTGAATAGCAGAATTGCCCAATTCAGACTGTCCATTTCACCTGCTGACCTCATCGCCGAAGATGTACCTGAATTCCAAAACCAGACCCTCTACCAGCTAGATCAGAAGTACAGAGAGACCGATCTGGCTGCAAAGCACCTCCAGCTGCTATGGATTATCAAGAACTTGGTTCACGAGCTTCAAGTGTCGTTTGATCCTTTGGACGAGGGCAATTACGTCTGTGACATTACTGAGTTGCAAGGTATCTTGCAAAACATCAAGAGCTTGAAGACCAAGATCGGGCCGTTTGTGAGGGAGAACTTCATCATCGGCTCAACCCTTCAGGAATCGTACGAAGACATTGTGGAATCGTACCAGAAGCAATTGGACTCGCTATTCGCCAGACATGTACTTCAACAAAACGGAACCTTTAAAGTGCTCACCGCGCTAACCATAAACCAGCAACAACACCTGCTCAAGGAATTTTTGAGCGTGGTTTTGGACTTTGAAGAGTTTACGGGCAATTGCAATGTTACAGAAAAATTGAACGAGCTCAAACCAAAGTGGGACAAGAAGCTCTTGGACCCTCTTGTCAACAAGAAGAAGTACCTTCTGCTAGTGCCTGAACTGGAACACGAGTACGCCATTGAGCTTGCTGATGCACTTCCGCCAGCCCAGTTTCTTTCCAGTTACTACTTTGACTCCGTGCGTAATTTCGTCACCTTTGTCAACTTGCTAGACAACCAGTCCTTCAAGAACTACTACCTGACGAAAGTCAGTAATAACATTGTGAACACGGTGTCCGAGAGCATTGAGGTTTTCTTGCAAAATAGAGATCAGCTTTCTGAAGATTTGGTGAATACCATAGGATTGGCGTCCAAGTCAGGCTGGAATGTTCAGATAGCACGCTCCTTGGGCTCTCTCGATCAGATCAACAACAGCATCAGCAGACTACACCATGAGTGGGTCACAGACAAGTACATCAATAATTTGCGTGTTTACTTCAACGGACCAGAATTCCCTCGGGACCTCCAAAACTTTAAAGAGGTGGAAATTGAGGTTGTTCACGAACCCGAGCCTGTTCATGAGCCTGAGCCTGAGCCTGAGCCAATTCCACAACCTGAACCTGAGCCTGAATCTGAGGGCGATGACTGGGACGATGAGTGGGGCTCTGAAGAAGAGGAAGAAGCTGCCGATGGATGGGATGAAGACTGGGATAACGACTGGGACGATGACGATAAGCCAAAGTCGCCTGTCAAGCCAAAGTCACCTGCAAAGCCAAAACGTCATGGGCCTCCACTGCCAAAAGTGCAGCAGAAGCCTCAACCGAAACCAAAGCCCCAGCCCACTGTTTCTGTTGATGTTGTCACTCGCACTGCTGTCGTGGAGTCCGTTAGAAGTATTGTGGATGCTTATCGCTCAGAAGTTGGTGTGGAGGATCTTTCGGATATCCTTTTCGCTGTCAGCGAATTTGCACTCATGTCCTACCCGCCACTACACGAGCTGTTCTTGCTTTATAACGATCTCAAGGCACTTGAGTTTGACGAAACGACAAACTTCGCCGAAACCCAATGGAAGCATACACGAATCCAGCTTTTTGGTCAGCTCAATGCATTTTTCACGGCAATTGACTTCACAAACGACGACGCCTCGGATGTCGCTACGGACGATTCTACCGGTATCACAGGTGCCATCACCCAATTCAGAGAATGTCTTGAACGTCTAGTTGACTCGAGCATGGCAAAGACCAACAGGGACCTTCTTCGAACTACGGTTTGTGACCTATCCAACCACGCAAACACGTGGGTTGTGAACGGCATTATCTCTTCCAAGGAGATCTCCGAGTTCCAGTGTGAAAAGTTCACCAGGGTGCTCGAAAGTCTCGACGAGGTTGAGGCCGCAGTGCTTGCGAGGGTCGGGTCCGAAAGCAATCGACTTGCAACATACAACAAGCTGAAGCAGGCAATTCTTCTCGTGAACAACCACCTCAATGACATCATGGAGCACTTCTACCAGGGTGACTTCTTCGACTTCTCTACACAAGAGTTGATACTGGTGTTGCAAAGTGTATTCGTACAAAGCGATCTAAGAGAGCGTTGCATCCTGGAGATTCTCGAGGTGAGAAACAGCTAATCAGCTGATGGTCTTACCGTCAACCACCTTCTTGCCAGTTTTGGCAATGGTGTTGTACACCGAGTCGTAGTCAAGTGACTCGTTGGTGGTTACATCCACAGTTTGGGACTCCAAAGAGATCTTGGTGTCAGTGACGCCATCCAATCTGCCCAAAGCCTTCAGCACGGCATTGGAGCATCCTGAACAAGACATCTTCACATTGAATTGGTATTGGTGGGACATTGTTGGGTGGATCTAGGAAAGAAGCAGTGTGGTTATTCGTGCTGACGCTATCTCCTGCAGGAGATTGCCGGTACCGCATCGGCTACGGACACACCGGGTTGCAGTTATGAAGGTATTATGAGGAGACAATTTGGTGATCATTGAAATTGGAGAAGTTGTTCCGATGAATTGAGCCCTGTCGTTTGGTTAGTTGGTCCGGGTTGTCTTATTCACTGTCATGCATAGATCTTTTGTGGGTGCCTGTGAGACACAATGGCATGTTATGGCCGGTCTCCAGATCCAAGTGAAGATATTGAAGCTATTTGATTAAAATTAATCGCCTCCTCATCTTCTCCAGTCCATTGGCTTTTCAAAAGTGCTGTCTTGGTGCAATTGCTCTCGATCCTGGTATGTGACTTGGTAAGTGTAACGTGCCGCTTGTGATTGCCAATTCACAAATAACTACCTGGTATTCTCACTTGATCCGCTCCTCTGGGGATGTTCGGTTTCTGGAGATGTTTCAATAGGGTGATTCATTCAAATGACTTTGTCAGTGTCTCAGCATTCCGCGGTGGCTCCTTTGCGATCAGTGTCGTGCTATCAAATGGCTGGTATGAACTATCAAAAAGCACCTTATAAACATTTCTTTCCTCACACCTCGGTTGGAACATTGTTTATGGTCATGCCATCGTTATATCGTGACCAGTCGTTTAAGCCTCCTTGGGGTTGACAAGACTATGCATGATAATCGACAATCACAGCTCGTCCTTGTGTAAGATGGGTGGTTACTACTGAAATGAAAGCTGCCAATGTCTCAAGCTGCCCGGAATGGTATCTTCATTACTGCTCACCCGTGGGCTTGTCTATAGATTCCACCTCGATCAATGCTAAGGTCAAGTCAATTCCTTGAGTAGTATCTTCTTCTATCAACAAAATGCATTCATCATGAATCTTTTGCTAATTAGAACGGTAGACTTTAAAACCGCCGGCTTTTTGGCCAAGCCGTTTGAATTGCTTGTTTTCACTTGGCAGTATAGGACAAAAGCCTGGTGGCTCAATTCAACTACACCGTCTAAAATCAGCAACAAGCATTTGAAAATCTGATTTACGTCCCACTAAGCATATGTTAAAACCTCAACTTAGAACAAATTCATCTCCCTGACCACTGGAATCACCGTATTCACCCGACCCCATATTTCGCAGCCACAAGTACCTGAACGCCTCAGACCAACAGATAACCGGTGAGCGTCTTCTTCATGAATTCGTAATTTCATCAACTTGCCAAGTTTTTGAAAAGTTTCCGGAATCTTAATCGACCCCCGCAACTTGCAAAATCTCCCAGTTCTTACATTTTGTGCCTCAGCAAAAGCTGGTCCTCCTGCGCCTTGCGCTAACAATCGTTCGGTGACAGACCGTTGCTGCACGGAAGCTTGCGGAGGGGTGCATCTCAAATCAGAACAAGCCAGAATTTTGCGAAACAAAGCTCATAACAATAACAAAACTGCCTCTTCTGATCACAACAGTGTTTTTAAAATCCCAAAAGGACCGCTGTGCACCGAAGTAGGCCAACCCCTTGGTGGCTGCGAAACCACGGTTAAGTTTCCCCAGAATCCAGGAAACCTTCAGCAACCAGAACATGTCCACGCAGCTCATATCAAAAAAACACCTAATTCAAATCCACCAAATTCTAAATATAAAACCTCAACACTCTGTCCCTCCTCCCTCTCACATTCACCTGAATTCCATGTCGATCTTCTATGACGCCCCTGGCGTGCACATGCCCCATCATATCTTATCTCTCACTACTACTCTTCCTTATGTTTGGTATCTTCAAGTACGTACACTGCCTGTTTTTTCGCCATTTCCTACTAACTCCAGCTCCTTTGTCGGGTCCATTTACCCCGTGATCGCCTCCTACAAAGCCTACGATGACTACGCCCGTGTGGCGTCTCTGTCAGCTGCTTCCTCGGTTCAGATAGGTAGCGTGTCTATTCCTTTGGGAACCATGCTTAAACGTGCCACTGCCGCCGAGGGCTCTGTTGAAGAAGACTACTTGAATTCTCGTTTGCTCACGGTCCAGATGTGGTTGATCTACTGGATTGTCCATGTGAGCATTGGCATTGCCGAGCTGATGCTCTTTTTGACCTGGTTGCCCTTGTACTCTCTGTTCAGGCTCCTTGTGTCTGCATGGCTCATTTCCCCCATTGTCTTGAGCTCCTTGCGTCTCAAGAGAACCAAGGCATTGACACCCCAGGAGGTGCAGCAGGAGTGGGCTGGCTTCTCAACCCAGGGCTGTGGCTTGGTCTACTTCCAATACCTCAAGCCACTTTTTGACGAGCAGCTCAAGGCGCTCATCAACTTCAACTTTGAGCCGCTCTTGAACCAGCTCGCCAGATTCTCCGGCGCGTCCACCATCTTCTCGTACGCGGGCACCCTCCTTTTGAAGAACCAGTTCAAGAACTTCGCAGCCCAGAATGACGGTTCCAGAGACGTCAATGCTAGGGATGTCAATGCCCCTGCCGACACCTCTGCGCCTGCTCCAAACGCCAATTCGCCACCTTCATCAGAAAACGCCTTTGCCGCCGCCGCTCAGAGTGCTGGTTTTGGTGCCGCTGCAGGCCACATCCAGAACTTCTCCAACCTCGCCAAAAACTTCCAGTCCCGTGGCGAACCTGCCCGGGAAGACTTGGCCGACTACGACATGGTCAACACGCCATCTCCGTCGCCCGAGGGCCAGGAGGGCGTCAAGCAGAGAAACGTCTCTGGTGGCAAGGAGAAGAAGCTGTGGTGGTAATAGAGCGGCCCATGTGTATCTGGTTTCTATGGCTGTATACAATGTATTCTCTTACTTAAGCTGACGGCCGGGGAAGTCGTAGAATGGTTGATACTTCCTGGCTCAATGGCTCATATTGATCTCCTCAATTCATTTAGGGTAAGCAATTTCCAAATCAATTATCCCAAACCTTTTTGGCAGTACTCATATGCTAGAGTGTACCCAGATATACGAACAGCATCAACTATGCTGTTTTACTAATGATCCACTTATTTCCTAAACCCAAAAGGCAACTGCCCTACACTCTCTCTAAATGACGTTTACTATGTACATTGGTTACAAGTTCAACAACTTGGCAACAGCGGCACGGTCGGCCTTTTGCTCCTCCCTAGAGGTGATGCTCTCCACCTTGGCCTTAAGAGCCTTCTGAGACTTGGCAGAAACAAACACATTGGGCAACTGTGGCTTGTTGTAGAGTCCGTTGTATGCTTTGGTGGGTCTGTCAGCGTTACTTCTGCCTTCGAAGTTCTTGGTGAACTCCATCTGGTTCAAGTCAGACTTCTGACCTGGGTCCTTGGCACTCTCAGGCAAGTCAGGCCAAACAAAAGGCTCTTCCATGTCAATGGTCATTTTCTTCATCTGGCGAGAACGGTGGCGGCCGTAGTCCATCATGGTTCTGCGCCACACAGCGGGCATTAGCTGGACAGTGATATTAAGTGCTCTCAAGCCGTAGACATGCCAGAGGTAGTCTCTCAAGTCAAGCTTGTTGAAGCTGCGGGGCACGAGGAAACGGGCCTGGTATGGAGTGTGCTTGGCCAAAGGAGGTAAAAGGACCACACGTGCCTTGGGCAAGTAAACCTGCTTGTTGCCCACTTTGAAGTGAGGAAGACCCAAGGCCACCTCTTCCTGGAAAGCCTCAAAGTTTCTGCGAGCCACCTCATCGTTGTTGCCCTTGAACTTACGGGGCACGGGTTTGCCCGCCTGCTTGTACATTTCTTTTATCTTCTGTTGTGGGAAAAGGGTGTTTTTCACTTTTTGGGAAAGAAGTGGCTTTCTCTTTCTGCGGAAACCGTATCTGGGAGGAGTAAGGTTAACGTCGGCGGCGTTGACCTGTGGGTAGCTCTTGGGCGTGAGCTTGTGGTGCACTAAACGCCGAGCGCCAAGCGACAAGCCGGCCATGGCTCGGGAGATGCTGTTCATGGTGGTTTGATCTGGATGAAGATTTTTGAGAAGCGGTTGAAGAAAGTTGGTAGTGTCACGTGCCGCGCGTCACGTGTGTTGATAGTCGTGTGCGCACCGCAAACACCCATGCGAAAACTTCAAAGGCGACAAACATTAAGACAGCTACCTCCCAATGTCCACCCCCATCGCCACGGACGACCCATATGCTTACGAGGAAGACGACTCGAGCATCACGCCCGAGGACTGTTGGACGGTGATCCTGTCGTTCTTCCAGGAGAAGGGTTTGGTGTCGCAGCAGTTGGATTCGTTTGACGAGTTCATCGAATCCACCATCCAGGAGCTTGTCTGGGAAGACCTGCACTTGATCTTGGACCAGCCTGCCCAGCACACTTCGGAGGATCAGTACGAGAACAAGCGTTACGAGATCACGTTTGGCAAGATTTACATTTCGAAGCCTACGCAAACCGAAGGTGATGGTACCACCCACCCTATGTTCCCACAGGAGGCCCGTTTGCGTAACCTCACGTACTCGTCGCCTTTGTACGTTGACATGACGAAAAAGAAGTTCAAGTCGGATGACCGTGTGCGTAAGGGCACTGAGCTCGACTGGATCGAGGAGAAGGTGGAGAATGAGGATGCACAGACCAAGGTGTTTTTGGGTAAGGTGCCCATCATGTTGCGTTCCAAGTTCTGTATGTTGCGTGACTTGGGCGAACACGAGTTCTACGAGTTGAAGGAGTGCCCCTACGATATGGGTGGTTACTTTGTCATCAACGGTTCCGAGAAGGTTTTGATTGCCCAGGAGCGTTCGGCTGCTAATATTGTGCAAGTCTTCAAGAAGGCAGCTCCTTCGCCTATTTCTCACGTTGCTGAAATCAGATCCGCCCTCGAGAAGGGCTCCCGTTTGATCTCCTCCATGCAAATCAAGTTGTATGGTAGAGACGACAAGGGCACTTCCGGTAGAACCATCAAGGCTACCTTACCATACATCAAAGAAGATATCCCTATCGTTATCGTCTTCAGAGCCCTCGGTGTTGTCCCTGATGGTGATATCTTGGAGCACATCTGTTACGACGCCAATGACTGGCAAATGTTGGAGATGTTGAAGCCCTGTGTTGAGGAAGGTTTCGTCATTCAAGAGCGTGAAGTTGCGCTCGACTTCATCGGTAGAAGAGGTGTCTTGGGTATCCGCAGAGAGAAGCGTATCCAGTATGCCAAGGATATCCTCCAAAAGGAACTCTTGCCAAATATCACCCAGGAGGCTGGTTTCGAGTCTAAAAAGGCTTTCTTCTTGGGTTACATGGTCAACAGATTGTTGTTGTGTGCCTTGGAGAGAAAAGAGCCAGATGACAGAGATCACTTCGGTAAGAAGAGATTGGACTTGGCTGGTCCTTTGTTGGCTAGTTTGTTCCGTCTTCTTTTTAAGAAGTTGACCAGAGATATCTACAACTACATGCAAAGATGTGTCGAGAACGACAAGGAGTTCAACCTTACGCTTGCTGTCAAATCACAGACTATCACCGACGGTTTGCGTTATTCCTTGGCCACCGGTAACTGGGGTGAACAGAAGAAGGCTATGAGTGCCCGTGCTGGTGTGTCCCAGGTGTTGAACCGTTACACATACTCTTCCACATTATCTCACTTGAGAAGAACTAATACTCCTATCGGTCGTGATGGTAAGATCGCGAAGCCTAGACAATTGCATAACACACACTGGGGTCTTGTGTGTCCCGCCGAGACTCCTGAAGGTCAAGCCTGTGGTTTGGTCAAGAACTTGTCCCTTATGACATGTATCTCTGTCGGTACAGCTTCCGAGCCAATTCTCTATTTCTTGGAAGAATGGGGTATGGAGCAATTGGAGGACTACGTGCCTTCTAACTCGCCTGATTGCACCAGAGTGTTTGTTAACGGTGTCTGGGTCGGTACTCATAGAGAGCCAGCACAGTTGGTAGACACGATGAGAAGATTGAGAAGACGTGGTGATATTTCGCCCGAGGTCTCGATCATCAGAGATATCAGAGAAAGAGAGTTCAAGATCTTTACTGACGCTGGTCGTGTCTACCGTCCCTTGTTTATCGTTGACGATGATCCAGAATCTGAGACCAAGGGTGAGCTTGTCTTGCAGAAAGAGCATGTCCACAAGTTGATGAACTCCGAATATGACGAGTTCGATGATGATCCTCTGTCCAACCACTACACATGGTCTTCGTTGGTGAATGACGGTGTTGTGGAATACGTGGATGCCGAGGAAGAAGAAACAATCATGATTGCGATGACCCCAGAAGACTTGGAGGCTTCTAAGAGTACCTTGTCCGAAACACAGCACAAGAGTTTGCAAATGGAGGAACAAGACCTCGACCCAGCCAAGAGAATCAAGCCAACCTATGTCTCTTCCACGCATACATTCACTCATTGTGAGATCCACCCATCTATGATTCTTGGTGTTGCAGCCTCCATCATTCCATTCCCTGACCATAACCAGTCGCCTCGTAATACCTATCAGTCTGCTATGGGTAAGCAAGCTATGGGTGTGTTTTTGACTAACTATGCCGTCAGAATGGACACAATGGCAAACATTTTATACTACCCACAGAAGCCTCTTGCCACTACCCGTGCCATGGAGTTCTTGAAGTTCCGTGAGTTGCCTGCCGGTCAAAATGCCATCGTCGCTATTGCATGTTACTCTGGTTACAATCAGGAAGATTCTATGATTATGAACCAGTCATCCATTGACAGAGGTCTTTTCAGATCTTTGTTCTTCAGATCCTACATGGATTTGGAAAAGAGACAGGGTATGAAAGCATTGGAGACTTTTGAGAAGCCTTCCAGATCTGACACATTGAGATTGAAGCATGGTACTTATGAAAAGTTGGATGAGGATGGATTGATCGCCCCTGGTGTAAGAGTCAGTGGTGAGGATATCATCATCGGTAAGACTACTCCAATTCCTCCAGACACCGAGGAGTTGGGTCAGAGAACACAATACCACACCAAGAGAGATGCATCCACTCCTTTGAGAAGTACCGAGTCTGGTATTGTTGACCAAGTCATGTTGACTACTAATGGTGATGGTGCTAAGTTCGTCAAGGTCAGAATGAGAACGACTAAGATTCCACAGATTGGTGATAAATTCGCCTCCAGACACGGTCAGAAGGGTACTATTGGTGTCACTTACAGACACGAAGATATGCCATTCAGTGCTCAAGGTATTGTCCCTGATTTGATCATCAACCCTCACGCCATTCCATCGCGAATGACAGTGGCTCACTTGATCGAGTGTTTGTTGTCTAAGGTTTCGTCCTTGTCTGGTTTGGAAGGTGATGCTTCCCCATTTACAGATGTCACCGCCGAGGCTGTTTCTAAGTTGTTGAGAGAGCACGGATACCAATCTAGAGGATTCGAAGTTATGTACAACGGTCACACAGGTAAGAAGTTGATGGCTCAGATTTTCTTTGGTCCTACTTACTACCAGAGATTGAGACATATGGTGGATGACAAGATCCACGCCAGAGCAAGAGGTCCAGTGCAAGTCTTGACCAGACAGCCAGTGGAGGGTAGATCCAGAGATGGTGGATTGCGTTTCGGAGAGATGGAAAGAGATTGTATGATTGCCCACGGTGCTGCTGGTTTCTTAAAGGAAAGATTGATGGAGGCCTCGGATGCCTTCAGAGTGCACGTCTGCGGTATCTGTGGTTTAATGTCCGTCATTGCCAACTTGAAAAAGAACCAGTTCGAGTGCCGCTCGTGCAAGAACAAGACCAACATCTACCAGATACACATCCCTTACGCTGCCAAGTTGTTGTTCCAGGAATTGATGGCCATGAACATCTCCCCAAGATTATACACCGAAGGTTCAGGCATCAGTGTGAGAGTTTAGGGATAAAATTAGCTTGTATTATAAAACATTACAAAAGGAATATACGGAAAAGAAAGCAGTGTGTAGCACTACCTCAAGTACGCTTTACATAAACTATCTACAGAAGAAGCAACTAATTTATCCGTATGCTTACTATTTACAACCTGTTTGTTCCCTCACTTGGAGAGGTAGTTCTTCCTGAGCTCGGCAGAAACGGCCTCCTGGCGCTCCAACTCAGCAATCTTCTTCTTCATGTCTGGCACCTCATCGGCATGCGCAATCAAGTTCTGGCGGTATGGGTGCTCGTGGCCATCAAACACTTTGAGTCTGTCCATTCTGGCGAGCCTAAGCTTGTTCTTTGGAATCATGCCCTTCACGGCTCTCTTCAAGATCTCACCGTAACCCTTGTTGGCGATCATTCTCTCCATAGGAACGAGCTTCAACGATCCCGGTCTTCCCGTGTGCGACCAGTACGTCTTGTCCGACATCTTGTTACCCGTCACCTTCATATGGGAGCAGTTGGTGACCACCACGTAGTCTCCATGGTCTCTGTTTGGAGAAAAGGTGGGTTTATGCTTGCCTTGCAAAGTCAAGGCTATGCTGGCGGCCAAACGACCCAAGGTTCTGGGATCGGCGGCCATATCCACGTGATGCCAGACCCTCGTTAGGGCGAGCGTGGAGTTACCGATTCTCTGGGACATGTGTAAGTGGGTGGGATCTTGAGTGGAAAAAAATGTGAGGGAAGAAGTAGGCACTACGTACAGGAACCTCACCAATTTCTCACTCCACCAACATCCTATATCTCCACTGGTTCTTCAGGATTCATCGACCATGTTCTTCCTCAAAGACCTCTCGTTGAACTTGACGCTCCATCCGTCCTACTTCGGTACGCAGATGGACCAGTACTTGCGAGATAAACTTCTTCTGGACGTCGAGGGCACTTGCACAGGTCAGTTTGGTTATATCGTCTGTGTGTTGGACTGTATGAACATTGACGTGGGCAGGGGCAGGATCATCCCGGGCCTGGGGATGGCCGAGTTTGAGGTTAAATACCGTGCTGTTGTGTGGAAGCCGTTCAAGGGCGAGGTGGTGGATGCTGTGGTGACGACGGTGAACAAGATGGGTTTTTTCGCCGACGTGGGGCCTTTGTCTGTTTTCGTCAGTACCCACTTGATTCTGTCGGACATGAAGTTCAATCCTTCTGCCAACCCACCTGCGTACGTGTCTCCAGACGAGACTATAGAAAAAGGATCCCGTGTGCGCTTGAAGATTGTGGGTACTAGAACCGACGTCAACGAGATCTACGCCATCGGCTCCATAAAGGAGGACTACTTGGGACCCAGCCCCTTGTGATGTATCATAAAGTCTACAGCAAACCCGTCCTGCCATTTTGTATATTACGTGCCCGTGGCACCTGAAAATAAAGTATATCGTGTATTGGCACCAGTAGCTAGTCGTCGAGCTCAATGATCTGTGACGAGTTGATTTCGCTGGGGTCGAATTTTTTCAGACCCTGTCGGTTGAGCCGCTTGTTCCACGATCTTTCTGTTGACGAGTTCAGGATAGACCGTTTCTTGCCGTTGGGTGTTTCTATCGACATGCGCTCGATCCGGCTATCTATAGGTGACGTGCTTTCGCCGCTATGTTCTTGCACTCGGTCGACCTCTGGCGTAGCTTGAGGTGGCGTTGGTCTTTCCGACTCACCGTCTTGTGGAGGTGCCCTGTTGAACGGGCTTCGAGACCGCCATATGTTACCAGTAACTTCAATGCCAAGTACTCCTCTGATTTTCTCCAATGCGTCTTCCTCTGTCAACACGTCAAATGCAGATCTCAGGTAATTTTCACTCCGAGCTGGTGGTTGCGGTGCTGTAGGTTTAGTGGGTTCAGACTGTCTGTCGGGTTCATTCTGCGTCCGCTCAGCTGCTTTCTCTGGCAATGAATCTGCCTTGGTCTGGATCAGAGCACGGGGCGGTTCTAGAACCTCAGGTTGTTTTTCCCGTGCTTGTTCTGCCAGCTTTTCTGAATCTTTATCAACTGCAGCTTTATTAGATGTTGTCAAAGGACTCACAGAAACGGTCTGATCCTCTCCCTGTGCATCCTTATTGAGCTTGAACTGCTTGTTCACCACACGAGGATGCGTTTCAGACGAAGTCTTATTAGCATCATTGTTGCCGGTGGTATTTGCTGGAGCTGTGGTGCCACTAACTGTACTGCCGCTTGCAGCACTAGCACCAGTTGCACTGGCCCCGGCTGTATTAGCACCAGCTACACTGCCACTAGCCTCACTTGCTGCCGGAGTGTTTCCCGGAGTCTTTGACGCCCGATCCTCAGGTTTTTGCTGGGATCCGTTGGTCCCAGGCTGGCTAGGAGGATTGAGTGGAGGACTGGACAGTTGTGGAAGCGAAGGTAGAACAGGTATACCACTGTTGTTTGGAGGCGTACTGCTAGGATTGAGCGCCATTCTGTTGTAGTTGTTAATGAGAGAGGACGACGTCAGAATGAGCTGGCGGTAACGTTCGGCTATAGCATTCTGGCGCACAGATTCCGAATTGCTAGAAAGGCTGCCCGCAGAATGAGGACCTTGATGAAGTGACGGTCTCAGGTTATCGGAAACCTCAGAAGTAGATGGGCGTTGTGGAATTGATGGCGTTGACTGTGCCCTATTTTCCAGGCTGCCAGTTCTTAGTGGTGCTTCTTCAGCAGAAGCTGATTTGGAAGCTACAATAACCGGTGAGCTTGTCAGACGAGACTCACGTCTGCCGTGCGTTTGAAGTGGTTGTGGTTCTGGTTTTTCGGGTGCAGAAATGGGCTGAGTTTCAGACGATAGCTGTGGAGTTTGATTACCTGAAGGTGTCTGTCTTGCTGATTCACTCGCAGATGGAGCACGACTTTGAGGATGCAGAGAGGGTGTGGAGTTTCTTTCTTGTGGTGTTTCATCCACAGACTTCGATGCCTCTCCTTCTTGTCTGTTCTTATTTCCATTGTTCAAGTTCCAGCCAAAAACAGGCTTTGGAGCCAGTGGTTGGATTGGAAGCATGTTTTGTTGATTGACTGGAGGCTGAGGACTGAACAGATTAGCTTTCCCAATTTCCGACACTGCTGACTTTTGCACCGGGTTCTCCTTGGCCCATGGCACATGGAAACGATCATTCGGTGGAGGCGGTGGATCTTGCCGCGTCAAACTATTAATTGAAGGAAGTCTGGTGCCACTTTGCTGTCCTGATGAGCTTGGCGCTGGTAGAACTGGAGATCCGTGGTGAGATAACTGTGGTGATTGAAGGGATGTGATCAGAGTCGATCTATTAGAAACCGGAGGAGGACTCATTTGCACATCTCTCGAAGGTAAGTTTTGTTGCGTTCTCACCGGAGGCAAGGAAGGACGGGCTTCTGTCCCCAGGTCCAGCTCCTCTGGGATAGTAGGGGCCTTGCGACGACTTACGTGGCTGAGAGGCACGTCTTCATGACGAGCCAAAGGTTCATTATCCGAAGAAGAATCATCCACTTCCACTGGCCGAGCTGCACCATTCGCATTCCTCTCGCTACCATTTGAATTAGGCGGCTTTGGAAGACTGTGGCTCAGGCCGTCGGGATTGAATAAAGAAGGTAACAGTGGCTGAGGTAGTTGAGGACGGCCGTTGCTTGATTGAGGTGGCGACTGGTGTGGAGACGGTTGGTGGTGATGAGATTGTGATGAGTGACGAGACATGGACTGGCGTGAATGATGAGATTGAGCTGATGGAGATTGGATAGCTGGAGGTGTCCGATGGAACCCAGGGGCATCTCTTGTTCCATGATATCCGTTCATATTTGCCGGACTTCCTCTCATGCTGTTCAAGGCACTCAACCCAGTTCTAGCACTCATGTTACTCAAGCTGCTCAATTTGCTTGCACCACTCAAGCCGCTGTTGCCACTAGCACCACTAGCACCACTAGCACCACTGAATCCACTCATTCCACTGTTTGCACTTATACCGCTGAGGCCACTCAATCCACTCATGCCGCTCATGCCACTCACACTGCTAGTGCTGCTGTTCCTTCCACCATCATTGAGCCAAGGAGCTTGTGGAACATTCGATGAATAATTCCTATTAGTGCTCGCTGGAGGCGCACGGTATGGCTGTCCAGAAACGTCTGAATGTGTGGCTGATGAGTTGCTTGATGTTGCTCGGTTATGTTGTAGAACATTTTCACTGGTGGTTTGATGCTCACGGTTCATGGGCTTTGGTAAGTTTGGAGCCGGAACTTGAGCGTGCGTCAGTAATGGAGTATTGTGTTGGGTCGAAGGGCTGGCCTGTGATGGAGTTTGCTGTGGAGTTGGCTCGTTTTGGGTAGTAGGCCTTGCTGGTGGAGCTTCATCCTCACTATCACTGTCAAGGGAAATGACCTCAATTGACTCATTAGCAGGCTCTACTGACTGCTCTGGAGGAGGTACAGAAGCTGCTGCACTGGGGCTCTTGGGAGCTGGTGAGGATTCATTCTTCGCATTGCCTTCGGTCTCGGTCTGGATAGCCCATGAGCCATCTGTATTTAACATGACCGTGTCGACTTCTTCTGACGTTTTTTGCAAAATGTCGTTCATATAGTCCAGTACAGCAAGCGAGTTCTGATCCATTTGAGCAGAACACACGGGACAAATCCACGAGGGAATTCTCTCTTGCATAGTGAGGAAAGACAAGCCGTCGAAACACTGGACATGGTCACAGGTGGTAGACTTCATTGGGTGCTTCATGCGGGCATACGTCAAGGGACATCGTAGGGAAATCGAGGATGTGTCCATGACGATATCGTCATCTTGGTTCAACTCGTAGTCACGCTGAATTGTCTTTTTGGTAGCATCCACAGGAATATGCAGCCCGTTTCTCTCTATCTGATCCACCAATGTCTCTGGCTTTTGAGCATGCACAATGTACATGTAAAGGATGTAGGGCTCCATGGCGTCCGAATACACCACATTGACCGTAAACTGTCTTCGGAGATTATTCACGTATTTTGTGAGATCCGCCGGCCGACAAGTTCCAGGCTTTCCCTTGAGGCCCTTGACGTACTGCTTGGTATTAATGCCATCAACATGGATTTCGATAGGGGGAAACTGGATGGGTGTTTTGCTTGGGTTCGGCGTGGACGAAAGACCTGAAAAAAGGTACAAACGGGCATCTGGATTCAGTTGTAGTGCCTCCACTTCCTCGCTGTTTAAGCTCACTGGCACATTACAAACATTTCTGCCCTTGGAAGCAACCATCATGTATGGAAACCCGTGAACCATTCGTATTAGACGGTAAAACAAGGTGCTTTGAAATAAAAGCATGGGTCCCGTGTACCGTGGATAGTAGACCGAGCCGTGCAGAGTGTTGCCCAGTGAGTAACCTCCAGCCATAGGATTGGAGGGTTGAGGCGGTTTTCTATGTGTGTGAGCGGACATGCCATGCGTGAGGCGTGTGTTCTGTTGGTTGTTCTGCTGCAGTAGTTTTTCAGTATCTATAAGCCCCAGCTGCAAAGCATGGCACAAGGTGTGGAAGTCTGGTACCGGGTCGTGATTGAGCATCTTGAGAACCACCGATCTGATGGCCAAAAGGCGAATGTTCTCTCCGGCGGCGTAGCAGGAACGAGTGTACTGCTCCAAGCGGTCCATAAGATCCTGTTTTTTGCCCTTTAAAGCCAAACCCACGGATTTGCAGAGGTCCTTGAGTTGGGTCACTTTCAAAAGTCGAAAGAAGGTGAGGGTGCTTTCGAACTCCGTGGCCAGCAACGCCAGCCGCAGTTGGACTGTGCTGCTCGGTGGCTGGCTCATAGTGACGGTGTATGCTGAAGTTTTTCCGGCCTTTTGGCGGAGTTGGAAGGTTTTGCTAACAAGCTAGTGTTTAGGTGAGTGTATATGGAACAGCAGCAGTTCTGCAGAGAGTCACCAGAGACACCAGATGGATGTTGGTGGAAACGGTTAAAGTGGGTTTTTTGAGGGGATAATTGGACGATTTTGGTTCTATTACGGGTATATATTGTCTGGGATGGTATAATTTCTGCTATGTGGTTTATGTTGGATTGGGCTGCAAATCGCACATTTGAGCAGAAACCGTGAATATAGCAATAGTGGAAGATGCACTGAAGAATCTGGATTTTTTCACAATTAAGAAACAAAAAAAAAAAAAAACCCTGATTTCTTCAACAAGCCTTCCTGGAAACGCAAAATAAAACTACATCAAGATTTTTTGTCCACCACTCGATGGAAACCTCTTATCTGGTACTGCTAGTTGATGGCTCAATGTAGGAAATTTACGTCATTGACCTTGCACCTGGTCATCTCCATCCAGACTAAAGCACTCAAGTAGACACGGCTATTTGGATTTAAAAAAAGGAAAGAAGGGAAAGAATATCCGACTTTGCACTACTACCTAAACTCCACACCTGGGGCTATCTCCACTGTCAGCGTCTTTATTCAGCTTCTATCTATATTACATTCTCTCCACCGGCGTCAAGCCCAACAACTTCATACCGTTGTTCAAGACCTGCTTGGCAGAGGCGTACAAAGCCAATCTGGCGGTAGCCAACTCCTCCTCCTGGCCAGCAACCCACAAGATGTCATAACACTGAGAGACGATATGCGTGAGGTTGAACAAGTAGGTGACGATGGCAGAAGGCTCGTTGGTCTTCAAGGCCTTCTTAAGAGCATCTGGGTAACCAGCCAACACTCTGACAAGAGAGGCAGCGCATGGCTCGGTCAACAAGTCGAAGTTGGCGTTCTGCAACTTCTCCTTAGGAATGTTGGCTTTTCTTTGCATCGAGCTCAAACGAGAGTGGGCGTACTGCAAGTATGGACCAGTGTCACCCTCGAACGAGAGCATTCTCTCCCACTTGAACTCGTAGTTGTTGATTCTCTTAGCCAGCATGTCCTGGATCATGACGGCAGAAATACCAACCAAGTCGGCAACCTTCTCAGGCTCCTCGATCTGCTCGTACTTGCTCTCGTTTCTCTTCATGACCTCATGCATCTTGTCCTTGGTCTCCTCCAAGATGTTGTCCAAGAACACAACAGTACCCTTTCTGGTGGACATACCCTGGACCATACCGAAGTTAACGTGCTCTAAGTTCTTGGCCCAGTCAAAGCCCATCTGCTTCAAGATCTCGAAGAACTGAGCAGTGTGCAAGTCTTGCTGGGAGGCAATAACGTAGATCATCTTGTCGAAGTCGTACTTCTCCTTACGTCTGATGGCCTCACCAACGTCTCTGGTCAAGTAAAGAGAAGTACCGTCGCTCTTCTCCACAAGACACTTGCCCAACTTCTTGTTGAACTTGGTCAAGTCAATGAGCTTGGCGCCTCTGTCCTCGTGGATCAAGCCCTTCTCGGTGAAGATCTTGGTGACGTTCTTCATGGACTCCTGGGAAACCTGGGACTCACCAGAGTAAGAGTCGTACTGGATGTTAAGACGGGCGTAAGTGTCAATGTACTTCTCGATAGACAACTCTCTGAATCTCTTCCAGATCTTCAAGGCGCTCTCGTCACCGTCCTCCATTCTTCTGAAGTAGGCTCTGGCCTTGTCGTTGGTACCACCCTCGACTTCGCCCTCGTCGGTGATATCCTTGTTGACCTTGACGTAGACCTCGAACAAGTGGTTGATAGGGTCGGAGGCCAACTTCTCCTCGTCACCGTACTTCTCGAAACCGACAGCCAAAAGACCAAACTGCTTACCCCAGTCACCGAGGTAGTTGATTCTCTTGACGTCCCAGCCGGCCTTCTCGTACAAGTTGGACAAGAAACCACCGATGATGGTGGATCTCAAGTGACCAGCGTGGAAAGGTTTGGCGATGTTAGGAGAGGAAAACTCAATCACCACTTTCTTACCCACGCCGAGAGGCAAGTAACCGTAGTCGCCCTGTCTGACCAAGGAGTCCTTGACGACGATGTTGAACAACGTCTTGGGCTCAAAGAAAAACTGCAAGAACTGGCCCTCAGCCTTGACTTCAGAGATGAAGCCGCCCTTGTTGAACTTCTCGGCGATCTCTGCAGCCTTGGCCTTGAAATCAGTGCCCTTTGGAAGCCTCAATCTGGGCAAAGGCACGAGCAAGTCACCCTTTTCCATAACATTGGGCTGGTCCAAGGCAGGGAAGATAACGTCCTTAGCGATGCCAGTGATGGAGTGAACCTCTTCGGTGATGTAGTTTCTCATAACGTCAATGACATTGTAGTCTGGGTGGGAGACGTCCACGGGGGATTCCGCCTGTTTGAGACCCAAAGAGGCCAACGACTGTGTGATGGTGTTAACGGACATTCTCCTGGTTCTGGGTAGGTGATGTAGAAGAGTCCTGCGGTACATGGGGAAATTTTTCTTTCGCGGTCTGAGTCATGGGACATGGGTTGATGGTGCTTTTTTTATTTTGAAGGGAGGAGGAGTGGAGTTGATGAGAAGGGAGAAAATTTGTTTATTGAAGTTTGTAAATTTCATTTCAGATGTTGTCTGGCTGGTTTGGGATGGGGTTACGTTGGGTGACTAGCGCCGCACTGGGTGCAAATGCTCGATGAGCTGAGATGGATGGAGTAGAGGGTGGGATGGATTTTTGGAAATCGATGAAAACGGATATGTAGCTTACAAATGGTGATTGAATGTTGGTTGCTGATTGAATATTGGTTTGGTGGTTCACTCCATTGATCGTTGAAGCAGATCTACAACAGCGGGCTAGAGGCTGGTCTGTACAACTTCGTATAATTAGGCATCTCTATTCGTCGATATCATGGGCATGGCGTTCTAATGCCTCCATTATCATTTGAAACCGTCTTCTTGATTTGCAATTGAACCGACGACACTCAAAGTTTCTCACAAGGTCTGGAGGAGTGGGTTCTTTCATGTTCAGCTCATCCGGTGAAGACCTTGCGTTGGGTAGTTCAATAAGATTATTACCCACTAGCTGATTGCTATCATTTTGACTTGGAAAGTGGCTTTTGGTTTCAGAACCCTCTGCTGCTGGTATAGGGGACTTCAGTGTGCCACTTTTGCTGCCAGTTGATGCAAAGAGAAAGCTTTTTGTGGAATTCAGGCGAACATTCAATACCCTAGATGAGCTTCTCTCTTTAGAACTTTTATTCTTGCTGACCGCTGAACCTTTGGATCCGTCATAATCCCAATACTCCAATCTCTCGCTGGACACTGACGATGGGTTATGATACTCCAAAGTATCCTGTGAAGCCGAAACACAACGTTGAGGCAACGAAACAATGCTTTTCAAGAGGTCAATGGCACTGTGAAGCTCCTCTTGAAGAAGGGTACCCAAAGTAGGCGTGTAGGTTGGAATGGTTGCAAAAGTTATACTCTCTCTATAAAGAGGTTTGGGTAAGGATTGATAGGAATTAATTGGAATCTTCATTGACAAGTTGTGAGGCTAAGAGAGCTAATGATGCTCTTGTGAATGTCTGACTTCGAGCTGTGAGTGTAAGTTGTATTTGTACAAGTAGGGTTGAGGCTCAGCGATGGACAGTACAACCAAATGAGAATTACGTTAAAATTCAACACTTCGATATATTTTACAAAATCTCTCTTCCCCAAAATAACTAATTTAACCTTGTAGATATGGCAGAGCTTTCATTCACAGATTGCTCAACTTCTAGCAAGTCCACCTCGAAGCAATGCTCTCACATCCGAGCTTGACCAATAATTAAACAGAACAAACATCGGACTAATTCTTAAAGGAAATGTATCTCTCCAACCCTCCTCTTGACCCGGAATCCTTATCTATGGTCCAAACCCGTGCCCCATCAACACCACTATCAGTGCGATATCTGATACAGTAGTAGTTGAGCATCACGAACCACACCTCAATGGATACAGAATCTCAAATACAGACCCTCATGGAAATGGGGTTTCCTCGTGAGGAGGCACTTAGTGCCTTGAAGGCCACGGGCCACGATCCAAACAAAGCAATTGCCTATCTATTTGGTGAACTACAGGATCCACAAGGGCAAGGAACCGAGAACGAACCCATAGAGATCGACTCAGAACCAAAACCACAGAACCAGTATGACACCGTGGACGTGCAAGTGCCCCAGGACTTGCCTGAATTCTTGGGTCAGTATGCTCAGAACCCAGAGAGTCAAAACACAGCAACTGCACCACCACCAGTTCCATCAGCTCCTCGTCCACAGATATCACAGTTTTCACAACCACTGGTGGATTTCATAGAAGTTGGTCGCTCAGAGCCAATGAGCTCCGAGGATGAGGGCGTTTTGGCCAATAGATATAACGCTATATCCGATAGTGATTCCGACAGTGAGTCGTTGCCTAATATCAAGACAGAAGGACACCTTGCGCCGCAATTGAGGAAGAAGATTCCGGGCTATAGGTACTGGGTGCCTGTTCTCGCTGCATTGTGTCAGAACAAGCGTTTTGCAGATGTCGTTTTGCTGGTGGAAGGCGACGATGTGTCTGCATTCGTGGAGGAGCTTCAGAAGATTGTCAAGTTTGTTCAGAACTTCAGGCAGTCACAGGAATGGTATGTTCTCGTGGACGATCTTCTTCGGAATGTCTCATCTACGGGCCAGGATGATGCGTTGTCTCCAGAGGAAGAGGCTATTGGTAATATCTACAAAGAGCTCGTTGAAGCCATTCCGCAACTTGGTGAGGTGTTGAACTCCAACGTCGAGAGCATCGAAGAGGAAATCAGCAACGAACTCAATCTCCTTGAACTTGACCTGGACGTGAGAAAGCTGAGCTTGTACCTCACGTTGAATGAGCAATTCTGGGGTCAAAACTTTGAGCGACTTGGAGTGGTGAAGTACCGCAGCGTGGCGCCAATTGTCACGATACACTTGATGGACGACGACGATAACACACTGCATCCGCTTTTCCTTCGAGAGATCTTCTACCCTGAGGTCTACAGTGACAAAGCACTTGAGCAGGTCCAGAAACATGTGGCTTCAGCGCAACAGGCTGATCACGAACGTCGTGCTATATCAAGAAACCTCATTGACCTCAATTTCTTTGAAGGCAAGAGACTTGGACCTCTCTTGCGTCAAGCCACGGCTATGCTTAAACCAGCTCACGAGGAAGCAAGTGAGGATCTTGGAAACCTCGCGGAGCAGGTTGAAACGCTTCGTGAGCAGCAGGTGGACAGGCAAAGCGAGGCACAGAGCACCATACATAGTGTTCAGCAGCAAATGGCTGACTTTGCCGGAGTGATTCTGGAAACTCCTCTGTTGAACAAGTACCGTCTACAGGGTGTTATCATGAACGATCGCTGGTACTACTTCCGTCAACGAGACGTCTGGGTGAAGATGGAGGACGCCGAGCTCATTGACTTTGAGCAAGTGGAGGCCGATGTGTACAATTGCACAAGAAACGGTACCCAGCCCGTGACGCTCTTGTATGGCAATGCAGAGGATGAGCCAGACTGGAGCGACTACGAAAGTGACAGCGACAAGAGCGACGATGATGTCATCGAGATCAACAGCCAGTCTGAAGAAAAGTCTCCGATCAAATTGGACGAATCGGAGGAAGCAGAGGAAACAAAGGAAGAGAAGAAAGACGACAAAGACGAGGAAGCTTTGATCGACTTGGGGTCATCGCTGGCGCTGAGCGAAGCTAAACCTTAATAAGCTCGCTGACGTCAGAAGATCAGGCCAACCTGGCATCTCACAGCAGGCAAATGAAAAGTCCATATCTAGCGCCGAATATTCGGTCTCCAGATCAGGAGCCCAGATTCAAGACAATCGAGAGTGACAATGGTGAAAGTGTGCCAAGGTCCGGGGGCTCGGCTAGGGAGCTTGCACTACCACAGCCAAGACCATAATCTACAGTTCTGGAGGTTGTGGCGTAGGTGGGTGCAAAAAGTTGGCTTAGTGGAAAATAAGCCAAACCGAGCAGTGTAATGATAGAGGTTCTTCGGCCAATTGGCCGCGGCTTTTCTTACGGATCTGGCTAATGCCGCGAATAACTGACAAAAAACAAAAGCCCCCGCGCCGCGCCAGTCAACTAACCCCCATACGGGCCAAAAATGTCCTTGTTCGGGGGTCGCGGCAAATGAAAATCTCGGACCCTGACGCATTTTCAAAAAGGGTTTGAGTCTTCCACAACAAAAAAATTCGGCCATTTTGCAAAAAGCTTCTTTCCACGCAAAAGCCACGATTTTTTTTTCTTCCTCTTGGCTGCCAATGTGTGCGGCCGTAAGCCGCCTCGCTTTTGGCACCAGCCGTATACCAAGGTCTTGTCTTCGCGCGCTGCATACCTGCCTCCCTGGCCACCCGGGACCAAACAAATACGACCCACGGCGCCTGCTTAGTTCTTTTCTTTCCAGCAACGCAATGTCCCTTCGGTCCACCACAGGGTCGCTTTTGCGGAATAGGAAGGTGCTCTTCCTACTCTTTGTCGGCCTTTTTTTCACCGTCACCATCCACACTTTGCACGGCCAAGGCATCTCAGTCCAGTACCGTGAAGAATTACCCCATCAAAAGATCCTTGACTACGAGACTGTGCACCTGACGCTTTTGGAAAACTACTTGGTCACCGATGTCAAGATCCAGAAGTGTGCCAAGGGTTTCTCGTGTCTGGCGCCAAAGCAGACCTCTGACAAGGCTGTTTGGCACAAGATTGACACCAAGCTCAATTTGCACGCAAAGGCTTCCTCCATGTTCAACTACTACCTTTACGTGGAAAAGACTCATGCTACCAATGCCGGCCGCTATGTCACCGACATTCAGTTTACCCCCTCTGCCAAGCAGCCTACGGATAAGAACAAGTGGTTCAGTCACAAGGTAGCATCCTCGCTTTACATCTGGATCAATTACATGGAAGTCGCTGATTTCGAGACGCCATTGGTTCGTGACCTCAACATTCTCTTTGGCACCCACGACATGCAAGACTCCAGAGACCACTGGCACTACCAGACCCTGCCCATCACCTTGCCTGTCGAACAGACCATCTACCCCCACGCCTCGCTCTTGTCCATCTCGATCAATGAGGAAATGCCAATCATAAACCACTCGATGGAGTTCGAGAACGTTCTCAAGAAGAATGGTATAATCACCACTGTCGATCCCAAGTTCAAGATTGCCCAAATCAGCGACTTGCATATTGGTGTTGACCAGGGCCGCTGTATTGGAGACGAATGCAAGTTCGATAGCAAAACCTTGGACTTCATTGGCAACCAGCTTGATGCTGAGGGTGACGTCAAGTTGGTGGTGGTCACCGGTGACATGATTGACTTTGAACGTGTCAAGCACCTCGAGTCTGCTGTGCTCAAGGCGCTCTCCCCAATTTTGAAGCTCAAGATTCCATTTGTGTTCACATTTGGCGATTCGGACTGGGACTGGGACAACTACCGCACGAAGATCAATATCCTCAACTTTGTTGCCAGCTTGCCTCGTTGCTACAACAAAAATATCAACCATGTTGACCACCGTATCCATGGATTGACCAACTACAACATCAAAATCTTCCACGAGCCACCTGCTGCCGAGGGCACCACCTTCGACTACAACCTGCTTGATCTCTCGAAGCCTAATGCAATTGCAACTGTGTTGGATTCAGAGCATGTCGAGGTGGACAACACCCAAACAAACTTCATGTATCGGGCAACACTGCAGCTTCCTCCTGATATGGAGTACAGACTCTTGTTCTTCCACTACCCGCTTCCGAACTTCCGTCCTGACAAGGAGTTCAAGCTTATCGGAACTTACAACGAGAAGCACAAGCTCGTGACTCCTACAGACAAAAAGGTCCTCGACGATGCCGTTGCGTGCGGTTACAAGGCCATCTCTGTGGGCCACGAGCACGAGAATGATGCTTGTATATGGAAGACTGTGCAAGGCAAGGACATTTTGCTCTGTTACAGCGGAATCGCGGGTGAGAGTGGAGTGACGCGACTCGACAAGGACTATGAGAGACGTTTCAGAGTCTTTGAGATGAATTTCGAGAAGAAGGCCATGTTCAGCTGGAAGAGAACGGCTCTCAAGTCTTTCGACCCACAAGCTGTCTGGCCTCTTAATACGTAGATGGCCGCTGATGAGCGATGCTGTATTCTAGTACATAATTAACGATATGGTGCAAGAAGTGGTGTAATTAAAAGATTTCCTAACCAATTTCAAAAAAAAAATTCAGAAAATCAAAAACATTGAATCAGAAACTGTCTGTCTAGGGTGGTGGTATACTGGTGCTAGAGTGTGGTGTACAGGTGCGATACTAGAGCGATGAGATGCGATAAGATCTGATTTCAGAAACAACCAACATGGGTAAAGCCAAAAAGACGAGAAAGTTCTCGCTTATGAAGAGGGCTATCAAGGCCAACGACCCCAAGCTACAAAAGGAAAAACCTAAACAGAAAAAGGACGACCCCGAGCTCACGAAACAGGTGCCACAAGTCTCATCAGCACTCTT